TGTTTTAGTAAGTGTAAGCGTTTTGGTGAAAATAGTATAGGTTTAACGCCCCTATCAACACTGTTAGGTTATTTAAAAGGCGGGACCTCCGAGTTTAACGTCCATCTCTGTAAGCGTGTTACGGTACATGCAACACAATTAGAGATTATGTAAGTACCGAAGATTATAGGTATTACAAAAGAGTAACAAACACGAACAAGAAGGAAGAGAGATAAGGAGATAAGATGGAGCGAACCACATCAGAGCACCCGCCAACTATCTACATGTATACTTCTCCTTCATATGTCAGGTCTGAAGCTGACACTGTTAGTGGTTTGCGGGTGCTCAGGTGTGGCATGTTCCTCTTTTCCCTTTCAAACATCTGTCGTCCATATCTCTCCTCCTTTTGTTGTGTTTGTTACTCCCTTGTAACCCCTCTAATCGTTGGCACTTTACAGTCGACTACGTATAAGTTAATGTCGTCAGGGGAGTGGGAAAAAAAGATCAATTCATCCCAAGTTCAACTTAACCTTTGGGTTCTCTAAAGAAGAAGAGGTGCTGGGACCCGAGAAAAGGATCGACTTAATCGAAGATCAAGTCAGGCGGAGTCAACTGCATGACCTAATTGTGGTGCTAATGACTCCCTTGCGGAACAAAGCAGACATTGACGATCATTGTACACTATGATACTCCTTCCCGCTGTCACTTCTCCTGATCAGCTCCGTTTATCTGAGACTGAGTTGCTTATCATAATAAAATTATTGTTCAGGCCGTCTCTGTGTGGTGTTCTCTGTCTTTCTCTGCCTCCCCCCTTCCCCTTTCTACCCTACGCCTACCACTTTGTGTATCATCATCAAGTGCCAGTTCTGCGACCGACATAGGCAATCATGATTCTCCATTTATTCCTTTGCTCGGATGCTAAAAAAAAAAAAAAAGCTACCGTATCCTGATCTTTCCGTGTCACCCATCTGTTTAGGCTCTTTAAGTAGGTCGCTCTGGGTCTACCCCTGCCTCGTTTGCCTTCAATACATGGGGTGTGAAATATCGTAAGAGAATGCAGTGGATAGCTATAATTGGAAAACGCCATTTGTGGTTCCAAGGATACCTCTTTACACTCGTTGGATTTTTAAAATATCTATTTGTTTTGTTCTTTTCACGCACTAAATACCTGTTGTTTTATTTATGTGCTGCTATATAGATTCCTGCTGCCAGTTCTCCTGATCAGCTCCATTTATCTGAGACTGAGTTGTTTGTCATAATAAAATTGTTCAGGCCGTCTGTGTGTGGTGTTCTCTGCCATTTTCTGCTCC